TGAACCAGACTCGATGGGAGGAGAGAACAGGTGGAGCAGGAGGACCCAGATTTTCGACGTCGTATTGTTTCAAAACGTTGCTCCCCAAAGGTCTGGATCCTTTCTTCGGGGCCATTTTTCCATTCTGGCTCGTGTTTGTTGGCGGCCCTGGGGCCCAGTAAGGGCCACCAGAGGCCGAACACAAATATAAAATGTTTGTGTGTCGCGATATGCTTCAACGGCGCGAGAGGGCATGGGGAGGAGGAGGAGGAGGAGGAGGAGGAGGAGGAGGAGGAGGAGGAGGAGAAGGATGGTTGTGTGTAAGGGTTGGGGAGGGAAGGGGGAGTGGGAAGGAAGGGGGAGGCTGAAGGGAGGAGGAGAGGGAGGAGGATCAGGAAACGGTGGATTTAAGACTCTACAGTTGTAGCTGGGTGGCCCGCGCTGAAAAGAGATGCGGAGGAGGCGGAGGAGGTCCGCGAGCCGAGAGCGCGCCGCAGAAGATGGGGAAACCAGAAGGTAACCATACCGCTACTCCCTGGACCTTTCCCGCCGTGCGCTCCGACCAGAAGCTCCAGTCGAGTCTGGCGGTGGCGACGAGGGCCTCCCAGGAGGCCCCAAGGGGGGGAAACGACGGAAAGGTAGCGGCATGGGGACCTGTTCCTCCTCTGGGGAGAGGGCCTTGCGGTGGCGGCGGCGCTGGGGGGGGGAGGTCTGTTCCTGCAGCAGTCCTTCGAGCGCAGGAGCCCGCCCGAGGACGAGGCGCCGGCCTTCGTCGAGCGCAGGCCCAGCGGGGGGCGCCATGGCGACCGCATCGCCGAGCCCGGCCGGGCCGATGCTGGGCCCAGGGCCAGAGGCTGGGCCTTGCAGGGGGGCCTCATCGTAGAGTCGAGCATATGATGAAGAAGCCTCCTCCCGAAAGGCTGGGCCAGCGTTTCTTGGCCAACCTGCCAGAGAGCTGGCCCAGCTTCTTGAGTACGCTCGCCCCTTCTGGCGGGAAGGGCAGAAGTTTGGCCGGGGCCGGTTTTAGAAACTTTGTGGAAGCTAGCCCAGATTTTCTGAATGGTGATTTTCTTGATCCCATGTTCGGCTATAGTAGATGTGATCGGAGGATCGCGCCGCATCGCCGATGCGTCGGCGCTGCAGCTTGATGTGGAACCCGACATTCTCCACGCCAACATCGCCGATGCATCGGTGATGCATCGACGCGGCGTGATCCTCCGACACCATCTATTGTTACCCCATTTGGAAGGCCTCTACGTAGAGACTTCGAGGTGCACCAGATCTCCGACTGCATGACATGTGCAATCCGGGCGTTTTCCCCACTGCGGATTCACAAACCCACGCCAAAGGATTTACAGGTGTGGTGGGGGGGGTCGGAAGTGTTCGTCGGTTCCCAGAGGTTCTGCAGCTTCGAGGTGCGTTCTGGCAACTGCGCCTGACGGAGAGCGTTCTGGGGGAGCGTGGGCGGTCCAAGTCGCCCCAGGACCGCTGTTTGGCCCACGGGCCACCCAGAACCCATACAGTGGGGGCACATGCCAAGAAACGCCCTGGTCGCCTTCAGGGTGCCCTGGGTTTCTTGGGTTTCGATGGTCTTGCTGTGGAGGGCGTGCCGTTTCCACACCAAAAATGAATGGGCGTCCTGGGGTCTCATGTTTGGGTTTCTTCTGGAAGGCTTCTTGTGGACAGGCCTCCACTGTACGTCTGGCATCTTGGCAAAAAGTCAAGGCGGCGTTTTTTGGAGCTTGTGGCCTCCGGGGAGCTCGCACCAGGCCCCGGCACTAGTCAGAGAACGGACTCGGCAGGAACAGCAGGCGCTCGGGGGGAAGGGGTCGGGACTTCCCGGGGGGGGTGCTTCGAAAACACCATGGCATCGGAAGGTCGGGTACGTCTGGGGTGGACAGAACCCCCACCCTGACACGTCGATTAGTGTATTGTCCGTTTTCGGTTCTCGAGAGGACGCCGCAGCCGTCATTTTCCAGGCTTGCGCCCGCCAGGTTTGGGCCCAGGGTTGTTTTCGCTAAACCACGTTTTACTAAAGGGGGTTCTGTCCATCCCCGAGTACGCCTCAGGTTACCTGACGAGGTATACGCCTTGTGGACATCCAGCAGCTCGAGTTGTTCCCAGACATGGCCCCCCCGGCCTCTGGACCTCTTTCACGGGGCAAGTTTGTCGTCCCGAGTCGTTTTTGTTGACGGTCCTGGAGCCCGAAACTGGCCGCCAGAGGCCGGAGCGCGTCACAGAACGTGCTGTGCCACGTTTCTCTTTCGAGCCGCAGGATGTTTGCAGTGCGCACGGTTCGTAAGTCCAGGATCGGCCCAGCCAGGGTCGGTGATGTAGTCGGTTGGCGTCCCCCCAGCAGGGGCGGCAACGACGCGTGCTGCTGAGATCAGCGGAGGGTTCTGGGCACGTGCGTCCTTCCAGCTTCGCAGGACATCTCTGGAGCTTCGATGTGCGCGGCCCTGCCGACAGAAGCTGCATGCCACAATGGGTCCGCTGCAGCGTGAGCGGCGCGACCTCAGACGGGCTCTCGCGTGGGCGATCGCGGTCGCCCGTCTGTTCCTGTCAGCCGCAGACTCTTGTTTTCCGCTGAGCGCGCACAGCGCCACGTGCTGCTATGGGGCCTTGGAGGGTAGCCCGAGATGCTACCACGGACAGCGGACGACGAGGCGGGAGGTGGGAGAAGGAGGAGAAAAGGAAGGGCATGAGAGGAGGAGAGGAGGGGGAAGAGACAGGTGGAGAGGAGGAGGAGGTGGAGGAGGAGGAGGAGAGAACTCATGATGAGGGAGAGGGGAAGGAGAGGGAGTCGGAAAGAGGGAGGAGGACGAGGAGGACGAGGAGTAGGGTGAGGAGAAAGTCCCCAGAGGAAGACACATACACGCACGTACACGCGCGCACACGAGCACGTACGCCATCACCGACGGCATGATTTCCTCGTGACGTGGGCCCTGGAGGTCTCAGCCCCATCCCCAGGCGGTCATTTTTTGTTGGCTGGGGGCCCAGAAACGGCCGTCGGGCGTCAGAGATGGCAACAGACTTCCAGAATGGTGCTTTTCCCCCGAGTCGACAGAGGCCTGTGGAGCAGGAGGAATAGCAGCAGCTGCTGCTGCTGCTGCTGCTCCTCCTCCTCCTCCTCGTTCTTGCAATGCTGCTGAGCAGCACTACAAGGACGAGGAGGATGAGGAAGGGGAGAATGACAGACGCATCACGTATAGCATCCAGCGCATGCGCAGCACAGGAGGCGAGGGAGGAGAAGGGGGATCAGGGCGAAGAGAAATTGGCGAAGGAGGGAGGAGCAGGAGGAGCCAGAGATCCGAGGTCATGATTTCATCAACACGGGTCGCAGGAAATCCCGACCGTTTCTTCAGGGCTGTTTTTTCGTCCCAGGGCCGTCTTGCTTCAAGACGTTGGA